GCGGAGCCGTTAAGTGTTTGTGTGTGAGGATTGGAAGCGACACACACACTCAATCCTCACTTCCTCACACACACACACACACACACACTCTTTTCTCAGCTGCAGCTCCGCCGATTTCTCCTCCCTGAGACGGCGGGACGCGGCGAGGCTGGGAGTCGGTGTGTGCGCACACACACAAACTCCCAGCCAGGCTGCGGGTGTGTGTTCGGGCTGGGTTTCGCTGTCTCGCAGACGGCCACTGGGCTCACAGGGGGGGGGGGGGGGCAGGAGCTCCAACAAGGCGTGTAGGACAGAGAGTGAATACACACACTATACAGAGATGCTGTGAGAAACCAATGTGAGTTTGGAACATTGAACAATGTGAATCTATTCTATAGACCTCAACAATGGAATCATGATCAGTAGAAATGGCCGTGACATGGGACCTTTAAAATCTTTATGTAATTTAAAGCTGCTAAGTGTCGTTTAATAATAACTAAATAATAAATGTTTCTGTTCCCACCTTGAGATATGTGTGTTGTTATTGAGCCGTCTGATTGTTACTATTACAGACTATATGGAGTCATGGGAGTGCCTTCAAAAAAATATATTTGGAAAATTAAGAACAATGGAAGAAGGTGTGGAATCAAGATAAATAAACAAGGAAATAAAAACATTAAAAAAGAATACTAAATCAAGAAGTAGAACTTGTGAAAGTAAAGTAATAAGTACATTTAGAAGATTTGAATGTAAAAAAAATATAAAGAAAAATAAAATCTAAAATTATAATTAAGGATTTGTTTCTGTCCATTTTAATATTAAAAAAGAATATTAATTTAATTTATTTTGCGTATACATTTTCAGAAATAAACACCTTGTTTTCCCTTATACTTTTTACAACATGCTTTTATTATCATGGCACTTTGTCACTCGTGCCCATTCGCCTGTGTGTGTGTTAGTGAGGGTGTGTGTGTGTGTTAGTGAGGATGTGTGTGTGTTAGTGAGGGTGTGTGTGTGTGTTAGTGAGGATGTGTGTGTGTTAGTGAGGGTGTGTGTGTGTGTTAGTGAGGATGTGTGTGTTAGTGAGGATGTGTGTGTGTTAGTGAGGGTGTGTGTGTGTTAGTGAGGATGTGTGTGTGTGTGTTAGTGAGGATGTGGGTGTGTGTGTTAGTGAGGATGTGTGTGTGTGAGTGTGTGTTAGTGAGGATGTGTGTGTGAGGGTGTGTGGTTGTGGTAGTGTTATTGTGGTGTGTGTGTGTTAGTGGATGTGTGGTGTTGTCGGATGTGTGTTGTTAGTGCGGGTGTGTGTGTTCGTGCTGCTGTGTGTGTGTGTCTCGTGTCTGCTGTGTGTGTGTGTGTGTAGTGAGGCTGTGTGTGTGTGTGTGGTGTTCGTGAGGTGTGTGTGTGTCTGAGGGGTGTGTGTGTGTTTGTGCGAGGATGTGTGTGTGTTCGTGCGGGTGGTGTGTGTGTTGTGCGGATGGTGTGTTTCGTGCGGCTGTGTGTTGTGTTCGTGCGGGTGTGTGTGTGTCGTGCGGCTGTGTGTGTGTGTGGTTCGTGCGGATGTGTGTGTGTGTGTTCGTGAGATTGTGTGTGTGCGTGTGTGTTCGTGCGGCTGTGTGTGTTCGTGCGGATGTGTGTGTGTGTGTGTGTGTTAGTGAGGATGTGTGTGTGCGGGTGTGTGTGTGTGTTCGTGCGGCTGTGTGTGTGTGTGTGTGTGTGTGTTAGTGAGGATGTGTGTGTGAGGGTGTGTGTGTGTTAGTGGATGTGTGTGTGAGGGTGTGTGTGTGTTAGTGAGGATGTGTGTGAGTGTGTGTTAGTGAGGATGTGTGTGTGTGTGTGTTAGTGAGGATGTGTGTGTGAGGGTGTGTGTGTTAGTGAGGATGTGTGTGTGTGTGTGTGTGAGGGTGTGTGTGTGTTAGTGAGGATGTGTGTGTGTGTGTGTTAGTGAGGATGTGTGTGTGTGTGTTAGTGAGGATGTGTGTGTGTGAGTGTGTGTTAGTGAGGATGTGTGGTGTGTTCGGGATTGTGTGTGTCATGAGTGTGGTTTTCGTGCGGAGTGTGGTGTGAGTGTGTGGTGTGTGTTGGTGGTGTGGTGTGTGTAGGGTGGTGTTGTGTGGTTGTGTGTTGTGTGCGTGTTGTTTATTGCGATGTGTGTGTGTGTTAGTGAGGGTGTGTGTGTGTGTTCAGTGCGGTATGTGTGTGTGTTAGTGCGGGTGTGTTGTGTGTTGTGCGGCTGTGTGTGTGTGAGTTGTTTTGTGTGTGTGTTTCTATCGGTTGTGTGTGTTGTTAGTGCGATTTGTGTGTGGGTTGTGTGTGTGTGTTCGTGCTGTGTTTGTTGTGTGCGTGTGTGTGTTTGTGTGTGTGTGTGTGTGTGTGTGTTAGTGAGGATGTGTGTGTGTGAGTGTGTGTGTTAGTGAGGATGTGTGTGTGAGGGTGTGTGTGTAATAAAACGCACTGTGATAAACAGATCGAAGGTTAAGAGCAAAGGTCGTGTGTTAACTTCCTGTTTTTCCTGAATTCGGCCTTTAACCCCCGAAAACATCAGCGAGCAGGAGAGCGTGTAAACAATGTGTCTGTTCTGACTGCTGGATTACAAAGGGACGTGTGTGTATATATATTCTAGTGTGTGTGTCATCATGGTTCTGCTAAGACGGACGGTGAGGCCTCGTCACCTTCTGCTGGCGGCCATGTTGGCTCTGCTCCTCTTCTTCAGCTCCTTCTGGCTCCGTGAGTGTCTCCATGGCGGCCATTTTGGCTCCACCTCTGTCAGTTTCTACTTTACAGTGGGGAGGGAGAGTCACTCAAATACTCCTTTTACTTGAGAATTTACAATAAATGTTTTTATTTTATGACAAATTAATTCAACTTTAAATTCAGTAAAATAACAATATGTTTTTGACTCTTTTTTTTATTGTTTTTTTGATATTATAATGTCAAGTAATAAATATAATTAAATAAAACAATGCATTTTTGGCACAATAAGCATAATTTAGCATTTTTTCCCGATACATTTTACTGTTTTTATTTTATTTTCTATTGTATTTACTTTTTAAAAATAATTTGTACTTGTTAACAATTTTATTGTATGATGCAATAGTGGGTTTCTTTTAAATAACTGTTTTTATTCTATAATTCTGTCTTCAGCTCAGGGTGGAGGCAGAGACTGTGGCAGCGCTGGGCAGCCATGTTTGAAGTCTGTACGGCAAAAGGTAGACACACACACACACACACCCACACACACAAATGTTGTTTGATATAAGCATAAATAAAAAATTAAAATATATATATACCTGAATGAAAGAAAACATATTTTTTTAACTCTAACTTTTAAAAATACCATTTCATTCAGAAATAAAGAAGAACATGTCTAAATGCAGTATAAACCTGGTTTTCTTTCAGGCTGCGCCCCCATTGGTCGCTGCCGAAGCCCCGTCCCTCATTAAGGAGTGTCCCGGCCAATCGTTTCAGGCCAAGCTTCTGCTGCAGTATTTAAAGCTCAGCCTGAGCGACGCTGACAACGTCCTGCTGGAGCCGTACCTGCAGAGCTGGGATCAGCTGCTCAAGTACACTCAATATATATTCATTTAATTAGTTAAATGCTCTCACAGCACCTGTTTAGCTTATCTTAGCATAAAGAGTAAAAACAGGGGGAAACAGCTAGCCTGGATAGGTCCATAAAAAAAGTAAATTCAATTAAAAACTCAAATAAAAGTACTTAATTTACATCTAATTCAAAAGTGGCTCCTTAAATAATCAAAAAAGAGGATGAAAGGAATATTTCAACATTTCTGTTCGGTGCAAATCTTATGTCTGTTTAGCTTAGCTTAGCATAGGGTGAAGAAACAGAGTAACTCATCAAAAAGTCAACAACTTATTAATGTAGTAATACAAATCATACATTCGGATTGTGTTAATCCTGATGGAACTAATTTAGTTTAAATATTTGTCATTAAATGTTTATTAGATGTTTCTTATTTTCTGTGATAATAAAAAATCATGAAAAGCAACATTTGCACTCGATTGCTGCTAGGTAGTAAGCAAATTAGCTAGACATGCTAACATTAGCAATACAAATACTCTTGTCTCTCTTCAGATTCATGAAATCCCTCGGGACGATGGTCAGTTTATTCTCCGGTAAAGTGACAGAGAAAGTTGTAGTGATACAGGAGCTGTCACTCAAACACAGCGCAAAGGATCATGGGAAACGTAGTCCACAAACCCCAGCGTCGTTCGGACTAAAAACAGGGGTGAGTGTTGCAACAATAAAGCTGGAATAAATGAAGTTTTTATCTGATTTTGTTTGGGTTTTTTTTGCTCTCCAGGCGTATCGTTCGCTCAGATCCATGGTGGAGGCGGAGCTTAAAGAGGGCGTGGTCGACTTTTCCCGCCGCTCAGACTCTGGCTGCCGGACGCTTCTTCGACTTCACCGATCGCTGCTCTGGCTGAAACTCATGCTGGAGGGTTTGGCCGAAGGACCGGACGCCGATGGACAATTCAAAACACCTGGAGAGCTGTGCAGGTGATGCTAACAGGCTAAAGCTAACAGCTCGTTGTATAGTTCAAAGAGGCTAAAGCTAATAGCTCACCATTTGATTACAAGAGGCTATATTTAAAAAAAGATTATTGACACAATAAGTTTCCTTCCCCTCTCCCCCTACATCGTTGCCCTGGCCCCCCACCACCCCTGCGTCATGCTAACATGCTAATGCTAACACAATATATTCCCCCCTCAGAGACGCCTACATCGTGGCCCTCGCCCCCCACCACCCCTGGGTGCTGCGTCAGGCGGCAGAGTTCGTGTTCCTCGCCCTGCCGGAGCGACAGTACTTCCTGCAGCTGGTGTGTGTTCAGACCCAGCAGGAGGCCATGCCCGTCCTGCAGATCATCATCAACGCTCTGGAGCTCGTACACACGCAAACGCAGCGAATCCTCGCCCAACACGACATGCTCGAGCTGCCCTGAACGCACCACGACAGACAAAAATAAACCAGAAACACGTGAAAAAAAAAGAGAACTACAAATGTGGGAGATTTTCTTCTATTTATTTTGGTCACATACACAGAATACAACTAGCTACAGAAGTAACATATGTACGGTAAATATTTGAGTAATATCTAAAATGCAAAACATGCACTTTAAGGCACCATGCTGCACTCAGGAACACGTGGGATTTCGAAGTTTTGATTGACGTTTATCACTTTAACTAAACATGCATAGAATTAAGGATATATGCCTATTTAAACTGTTGTTTTGATACAACATCCGATTTCCCACTTGCCCTGAATGCAACACACATGGTGAGAATATTATACTAACTTATTTAACGCTACAAGAAGTAAACATGTAAGAAATGTGACGACTTTAACAGGAGTTTACGGTGAACGTTGCATGAGCTGTAAAAACACACAGAGCTTTAATAGTCTTTAAACTAAAAATGTTTATACAATGCAACCCGTTTCTTTATTATTAAACTCGCAATAAACTCCTACACTAAAAACTTTATTTAATTTTTTTGGTTTATAGAAAATAGTAGAACATTTGTAGACAGAAAAATGTGTTTCTAAATTCCTATTTTCTCTGTAAAAGCTGGCTATTGTCGAATATCTTTTTAACAGAAAAAATACCGTTACTCACTTTATCTTGAGTTTTCTTTTACAAAGCATTTATTTTCCAAGTTCAATTGGTTTTCAGTTTAAATGCTACATGATTTTAAAAAGAACGTTTGTTTAAATTTAAACACTTTAAATGTTTTTTTGTCTCTAATCTTGAGATTTGGATATTTTCTGTTTGATATCATCTTAAAGTGGAACATTAAACACATCAGCTTGGACTCTGTAAGAGGGACGGACATTTTTCAAAAACTGCTCAGATTGACGTTGGTTCTCAGTTGTTAAGGGCACGTTGCGTTCAGGAACCCTTCGTCTCCTTGGTGGTGGCTCTTCATGTGCGTCTTCAGGCAGTGGCTCTGAGTGAAGGCTTTCGCGCAGACGGTGCATTGGTAGGGTCTCTCTCCGTTGTGCGTCCTCATGTGAACGGTCAGGTGTTCCTGCCGTGAACACGCCTTCCCGCAGACACTGCACACAAACAGCTTGATGCCCAGGTGGCCCCTCACGTGATTATTCAGATGCGTCTTGCGTTTAAAGAAGCGTCCGCACTCCTTACACTCGTACGGCGCCTCGTTCGTGTGAGTTCGCATGTGCGATTTTCTATAGCCGTTGGACATGAACCTTTTACCGCAGACGGAGCACGGAAACGGCCGCTCGCCTGAGTGCATATTCAGGTGCATCATCAAACCGCCGTTGGTCACGAAAGTCTTACAGCAGATGTGGCAGAGGAACGTTTTCTCGCGCACCGTGTGGGTTTTCTTGTGAGATCTCAGAGTTCCCGGGAGTTTGAAACGCTTCCCGCAGATCTCACAGCCGTATCGACGTTCGCCAGAATGCGTGGATTTGTGTCTGGTTAACGATCTCATGTCTAATAACGATTTCCCACAAACGTTGCAGATGAAACGCTCTCTCTTGCCGTGAAGCCGTCTGTGAGCCTGAAACGACCCCTTTAATCCAAACGCCTTCGGACACACGTCGCATTTGTATGGTTTCTCTTCTCGATGCACCCATCTGTGGATGCTTAAATTGGAGGCGTGTGCAAAGGCTTTTCCGCAGACGTCGCATTTAAATGGCCGGTCGCCCGTGTGCAGCGTGACGTGGCGCTTCAGCCCGGTGACGGTGAGGAAGGACTTCCTGCAGAACGAGCACTCGTGGGTCTTTTTGTATTTGTTTTTCAGATGAGACTTTAATTCCTCTGAGGTTTCGAAGAGGTCGCCACAGACGCCACAGACGCACGGCGCTTCTTCTTCGCCCACGTGACTCCAGGCGTGTTTGACGAGGCTTCCAAGGAGAATGTATGAAATGCCGCACACTTTACACAGATTTTTACCCCCAAACTTCTCTCTCTTAGCGCCGCTTTGCCTCGTCTCAGCGTCGGGTTTCCAGTCTCCGTCCGACGCCTCGTTTGCCATTTCGTCATCGCTGGATTCTGCCGCTTCCTGTGTCTCTACTTCCTGTGCCTCTAATTCCTGTGCCTCTACTTCCTGTGTCTCTACTTCCTGGATCTTTAATTCCTGTGTCTCTACTTCCTGGATCTTTAATTCCTGTGTCTCTATTTCCTGGGTCTCTACTTCCTGGGTCTCTACTTCCTGTTCCTGGGATGTGTTGCTGCTGCACGGGTCTGCATGCTGGACACGACTGGAGAAGAAAAGTATAAAAAAAACAACTTTAGTTTGTTGGATGTCTGCATGCACAGGTGTAGATATTCGTGTCAAATTATCCTAAAATCATTTAACCTGTTAAGCCCGAGAGACCTCGGTACTGGGGCCCTCCCGCAACATCTTGCAAGAAACAGTGTCTGAGGGTTCATTTAATAAACTATGAATGTTTTGTATCCATGTAACGGGAAGAAACTCATCTAACTGATCATTTTATTATTTATTTATTTTTTAAAACCCCACAATGCTAACGCTGATAGTCTGAATTAGCAACGAGCGAAAAATGCTAACAGATTTACTGCACCGAAACTCACTCATAAAACCTTATTATTTATCCATTCTGCACATCCGACACATCGTTTCACATCGTGAGATGACACAGAATCGAAGGGTACCCTCATTATCACTCAATGATACGAACTTGCGACTTTATAAACAAAAACAGACATCAAAACATGTGGCCCTAGGTAGCTAAAAACGCTAACATGGCTCACCTGTGTCGTAGTCTGGTCTTCAATGGCATTACAACGATAAAAACGCTGCTGAAGTTAATCCATATGTTAATCCAATGTGTCTGTGTCCCTTTGAATGATTTCTGATAATCCATGAGCAATAAACCTGCTTTTCCGTTTCCAGATGTCAGAGCTAGAGACAGCTTCACTCTGGAGAAAAACTGTGAACGCGAAGCCCACACCTTTTTGTTTTACCGTGTGTGTGTGGGGAAATCCCCCTTCGATTATATTGGCTCTAACGGTCAGAAAGAGGTGTCAATCAGCAACATCGACAAAGGGGGGCCAGAGAAAGGTCAAATCCACCCAAATGGCCCCAGAAGTGGGTTTTTTGTGCTAAATCTCTCTAAAAAGGTCAAATGTCACTTGTTTTGCATCAATCTTGATACAGGGTACTTATTATATGTTGTACTTTGGATTCCTAAAGCTTTTAGTCTACCTTACCATCATCCAAGGTTAGTTTTCACTATAAGTAAAAAAGAAATTTTGGACGGACACAATAATTTACAGTTTTTTTACCATGTTCAATCTGAATTTTCTTTAAAATAAAAACCTCTATATTGATTCTGACTTTTCTACATTCAACTCACAGGTTTATAATTACTTTGAAAACAAGATTATTAATGTAACCCTTTTAGAAGATATGGTCATTTGTTCTGGGAATGTCATTTTGGAGCAGGTTAAAGGTTAAAACATATAGTCTTATACTCTGATTTACTTTGTTGAAGTGTATCGTTAGTCTGGTATGTGTTTAACAGAGACAGATGCTAAGGGTTTACATTTCAGGAGGTAAAGGAAGTAAAAGGGGGATTTGCAAATGGTTAATGACGAGAGGGTTTTCTGGTTTAATGATGAGATGTTTAGATCATGCCTCAGAGAATCGAAGGGTGGGACCAGTTGGATATTCTCTCAACTATACAGCTGTGTCTCTCCTCTGATGAAGCAGCTCTGTTCCTGCATTTGAGCAGACTCTGGTACTGGTGTTTTTTTTAGTTGTAGATTAAACCGTTTTGAATTACCTTGAACTGAGCTCGGTTTCGTCAGGTTTCATCACCACATCATTTGAAAGGTGGCGCTCCTCTTCCTCCTCCTCCTCCTCTTCCTCATCCTCCTCCTCTTCCTCATCCTCCTCCTCATCCTCCGCTCCTTTCTGCAAGAATCGATGCTTTTTTATTTGTAGTCAAACAATAATATAGTACAATATATCGTTCATTCACATTTTCAATTTTCCCAGCTGTATCAATATAATCCTGGAGACGTGTCCAGTACCAGTAACAGAGTCCACTCGGCCTGCCGTAGAAAACAAGACAAATAAAAAACAATAATAGTAACTATTCCTACTGTATCAGCAGATGCATTGTGTTTTTCTCACATAGATATTCCACACAGTGGGAGGTTCAGAGAATCGATGCTTTTTCAAATACAAATAGGGCCAACGTCATCTCATTTTATTATAATTTTTGTATCTTTAAAGGTCCCCTATTATACTCATCAATATATCCCAGGTCTCAGATATATCCAGAGCCTGTCTCTGATTGGCTGAAACACCAAACAGATCATTGCAGCATTACCCATAATCCCCTCTGTTTCAGCCCTGTTTCCAAAGTGCTGATTCTCTGTCTGTTACTTTAGATGAAAACAAGGAGCCCCTCCCCACGCCCCTCTGAGAGAGATTTGGTTACAAAGAACTCAATGGTGCTCTAGAGGAGATCCAGGTGATAAGGGTGGGGGGGGGGTTACCTTGGTTGCTGATTGGCTAATGGTGACACAAGACAAAACATCGTTATGACATCATCAAGTGGCCAAAATCTGATCAGCTAATTTTCAGACAGGTTTTTATAGAAATGGATCAAAAAGAGAGAAAATCTTTGTTCCTGAAACTTTCAGAGTCTCTTTCCACAGAGGGGACACATGTTGATGTAGAAGAGACATGAAGAAGAGGGGACACATGTTGATGTAGAAGAGACATGAAGAAGAGGGGACACATGTTGATGTAGAAGAGACATGAAGAAGAGGGGACACATGTTGATGTAGAGGAGACATGAAGAAGAGGGGACACATGTTGATGAAGAAGAGACACGAAGAAGAGGGGACACATGTTGATGTAGAAGAGACATGAAGAAGAGGGGACACATGTTGATGCAGAAGAGACATGAAGAAGAGGGGACACATGTTGATGTAGAAGAGACGTGAAGAAGAGGGGACACATGTTGATGTAGAAGAGACATGAAGAAGAGGGGACACATGTTGATGTAGAAGAGACATGAAGAAGAGGGGACACATGTTGATGTAGAAGAGACATGAAGAAGAGGGGACACATGTTGATGTAGAAGAGACATGAAGAAGAGGGGACACATGTTGATGTAGAAGAGACATGAAGAGAGGGACACATGTTGATGTAGAAGAGACATGAAGAAGAGGGGACACATGTTGATGTAGAAGAGACATGAAGAAGAGGGGACACATGTTGATGTAGAAGAGACATGAAGAAGAGGGGACACATGTTGATGTAGAAGAGACATGAAGAAGAGGGGACACATGTTGATGTAGAAGAGACATGAAGAAGAGGGGACACATGTTGATGTAGAAGAGACATGAAGAAGAGGGGACACATGTTGATGTAGAAGAGACATGAAGAAGAGGGGGACACATGTTGATGTAGAAGAGACATGAAGAAGAGGGGACACATGTTGATGTAGAAGAGACATGAAGAAGAGGGGACACATGTTGATGTAGAAGAGACATGAGAAGAGGGAGACACATGTTGATGTAGAAGAGACATGAATAAGGGGACACATGTTGATGTAGAAGAGACATGAAGAAGAGGGGACACATGTTGATGTAGAAGAGACATGAAGAAGAGGGGACACATGTTGATGTAGAAGAGACATGAAGAAGAGGGGACACATGTTGATGTAGAAGAGACATGAAGAAGAGGGGACACATGTTGATGTAGAAGAGACATGAAGAAGAGGGGACACATGTTGATGAGAAGAGACATGAAGAAGAGGGAGACACATGTTGATGTAGAAGAGACATGAAGAAGAGGGGACACATGTTGATGTAGAAGAGACATGAAGAAGAGGGGACACATGTTGATGTAGAAGAGACATGAAGAAGAGGGGACACATGTTGATGTAGAAGAGACATGAAGAAGAGGGGACACATGTTGATGAAGAAGAGACATGAAGAAGAGGGGACACATGTTGATGTAGAAGAGACATGAAGAAGAGGGGACACATGTTGATGTAGAAGAGACATGAAGAAGAGGGGACACATGTTGATGTAGAAGAGACATGAAGAAGAGGGGACACATGTTGATGTAGAAGAGACATGAAGAAGAGGGGACACATGTTGATGTAAAGAAGAGACATGAGAAGAGGGGAACATTGTGATGTAGAAGAGACATGAAGAAGAGGAGACACATGTTGATGTAGAAGAGACATGAAGAAGAGGGGACACATGTTGATGTAGAAGAGACATGAAGAAGAGGGGACACATGTTGATGTAAGAAGAGACATGAGAAGAGGGGGACACATGGTGATGTAGAAGAGACATGAAGAAGAGGGACCACATGTTGATGAGAAGAGACATGAAAGAAGAGGGGACACATGGTTGATGTAGAAGAGACCTGAAGAAGAGGGGACACATGTTGATGTAGAAGAGACAGTGAAGAAGAGGGGACAAATGTTTGATGTAGAAGAGACATGAAGAAGAGGGGAGACACATGGTGATGTAAGAAGAGACAATAGAAGAGAGGGGACACATGTTGATGAAGAAGAGACATGTAGAATGACGAGGACACATGTGGATGAAGAAAGAGGGGACACATGTTGATGTAGAAGAGACATGAAGAAGAGGGACACATGTTGAGAAGAGGGGACACATGTTGATGTAGAAGAGACATGAAGAAGAGGGGACACATGTTGATGTAGAAGAGACATGAAGAAGAGGGGACACATGTTGATGTAGAAGAGACATGAAGAAGAGGGGACACTAAGACTTGTACCCTGAGACGGAGGTAGAGCAGCGTCTTCTCCCCCCCGCTGCTCCTGGTTCTTAATATGTCCTCTGGAGTCAGTGTCTCCAGCTGGATCCTCTGCAGCCGGCGGCTCCGGTCCGTTCGGAGGAACTCGAGTCTGCTGCTGTCCGTCAGCCGAGGGAAAGAGGAGCGAAGGAGCAGCAGGAAGTCTTCCTCCGAGAGGCCGGGGGGGAAGCACACCTCCTTCACCGGGTACTTCTTAAACACTGAGAGGAGGAGGAGGAGGAGGAGGAGGAGGAGGAGGAGGAGGAGGAGGAGGAGGATTACAATCCACTGCATTGACTCTTTTTAAACTATACACAAGTCAGTCATTAAAACACATCCACACACTCTAAAAAACTACATTTTAAACTTCAGACTCATTCTTTCTACTTTTCGTAGCAACGGTTTCAAATCAGCGTCTCTTGGATTAAAAAGAACACAAATAAACTCTAACAATCTTTAATGGCATATATTTCTTGTAAACATATTTTTGTTTTAAAATCTGATGTTTATAAGCTGCTTCGTTTTTGCAAAAGTCCGTGTAAATAAACACAACTTTTACCGGTTTCTAGACGAGACACGAGTAAATGAAGTTTAAAAGAAATACGAGGTAACCATGACGTTGTTAAAATCTGTACGTTGCCTTTAAAGGTGGGTAAGAATGGAGAAACCAGCTCGAGTGCGCTAGAATTTGAAAATCAGCCACTTCCTCACAGAGCCCCGCCTCCAACACACACGAACGCGCTCATGACCAATGAGGGCACGAGATAAGTTTGTGCCCAGATGGAAGGCTGACAGGCAGGTAGGCCATCCAGTTACTTTAGCCGGCTCAGATGATTGGTCGAGCTTTCTACAGCACCACGGCTTCCACTAGATTATATTTTAAAATAGATTTATTAATTTTCCACTCTTTTTTTGGCTGTTCCTACCCCACCTTGAAAGACCATAAGGATTGGTTCCAACTCAAAGTCACAGAAATACACCTTAAAACGAGGATATTGATAATTAAACACATTATAATGATATCGATATATTGTTTATTTTTGTAATTAATTTTCCACTCTTTTTTTGGCTTTTCTTATTTTTGCCAATTTTACTGAAAAGTTCTTCCGAGCTCAGGTGAGTCTTCTGACGTCACAGCAGAGCTACGTCAGGAGGGCGAGGGATGTCCAAATATGGTGGGACATTTTCCGGGGGAAGTCGCCGCACCATATTTGGGCATCCCTCTAAAACACTCGCAGCTCTCATGCTTGTTTTCTCAGTCGAACGAGGAGAGAGGAGAGAGGAGGAGGAGGGGAAGTTTTTCAGGAGTCGAGAAAGTGACTTAAAGACTTGGAAATCTGCAATTGAATCGATCCATCGGTTAGTTTTCTGCCTCGGGGCGAAACAAAGACCTTTGGAGCAGGTTTGACCCTTTGAGGAGTGAAAAGACGCAGAAAGCAACGCACACAGGTGAGTTTCTCAGTTCCTGTTTACGTTTTCCTGTCGCGATCTAAACTTTCCGGACTTTAAATTAAAGTGTAAACACAACTTTAACGCTTAACAATACACGCCGATTAATCTATTTGTCGATCTGTTCAACATACATTGTGTTTGTACCTAATTTAGTGAGAAAAACGTCAAAATTAGAGACAATTTTTTGTTTGTTTTCACTTAAAATGAATGTCTTTTGGTTCCTTCAATAAATAATCCAACATTTAAACACAACATTAACGCTAAAAAATACACGCCGATTAATCAATTGGTCGATCTGTTACATTTTAATCGTGTTGTAACTTTATTTAGTGAGAAAACACCGGAATTAAAGTACATTTGTTTGTTTTTCGCTTAAAGTGAACGTATTTTGGGGCTTACAATAAATAATCCCCCTATTAAGATGAAATGATGTAACTAAGTAGGTATAATATTCACAACATCAATATTATATGAAATTAAAATGTGGTTAATAAAAAGTCAGAAATGTAGTTAAAAAAATGTTATGATGATTTCCCCCAACCCCACATCTTATTGTTTTTCCTGATAAGTAACTAAAACCCTGATCATGTCCTATTTTTGAAAATATAGTATAACCCTTCCTAAATCATTTAAAACCCGTTTTGAACTGTCTTTATTGAGAAACTAATAATGTATTGTATAATAACCTATTGAAAGAAATGCAACACAATACACTGAACATATTACAGACAACAGTCTGAAAAGAAAAAGGAAGTGTTATTTAAAACATCAAAAATAGACATTTTTGTTTGTTTTCACTTAAAACGAATGTCTTTTGGTTCCTTCAATAAATAATCCAACATTTAAACACAACATTAACGCATTCCACGGAATATGAGTGTCTCTGAAGGCAATGACCTCCCCACCTTCAAAGGTCTATCGTGATGTTTGTAGGAACTGTTGGGAAGCGGCGTGTTTCCTGACCACTGCTGTGTTCCAGCAAACATCCACTGATAAACTGCGATGTTATCAACTCCATGAGAACTCCATGTGTTTTTAACTTAGGGTCAAACCTGTGTTTAGTCTAGAAAAAGATAAATGTGTGCATTTTATTATAAAGCTGTGTATATTTACAGACTGTTGCAAAAACTAAGACGCTTATAAACACCAGGTTTAAAACTAAAAAAGGTTACACCCTCCACCTGACAGGAGGGAGCCTCGTTTAGCTGCGAGTTCAATCCATCGCTGAGGGAGAGTGTGTAGGGGGTGGTTTGGAATTGGGCCTCTAAATAAGTTTTGAATGTGATGATGTCACTTCCTGTTTACCTTTGTTTGACAGCACGTCTGAGCGGCAGGTTCCCAGCATGCAGACTCTCAGGAGGAGGTTGTTGTTGGTTTGCTTCTTCTCCAGGGGGGGTCTGCCTCTCCTGCGCCTGGCAGTCTGAACTCTGGGCGGCGATAACCTGCAGGAGGAGAGTCATGGAACATTATATCATACTCTCACATCCGAAAGGAACCCTTCAACAAATACCTCAAAGCTCACGTATTCCCTGTAAAAGGCGTTCATCTGTGGAATGGCTAATGATGATGTGCAACGTTATCTAAACATATCACTCAGAAACCAAAGCCTGAATGGTTCTGAGCAGGACCGCTGAACTCAGGCGTGATATTTGTTGTCGTTGTAAAAGTTATTTCTTTTTGGTTGTTTTGTACAAAGAAATGATTTGTTTAAAAGAATGAATCCAATATCACGGATGACCTGTTAACATGTAATCTCTTTGCGCCTATACTACTGGCCTTACGGTAGTCTAGGTTGCCCTCTGGAGGCTGTGAAACGCATGCGCAGTCAGTCTGTGTCGACCTGGAGCATGAGGTCCACTGTTCGTTAATGGCTCTGTATTGGTGTTATGCACGTTGATTGAATAAACCAAGTTAACAGAAGATAAACTTGTATTTTCATGAACAGTGTACGCTGGGGGGGGGGGGGGGGGGCAGTACGCTGTCTGTCCAGCTGCAGAACTCTCCGTTATGATTATTGATTTTGTTTTTCTAACATGTTAATAAATTGACTAATTAAATATAAATAGCTTTCAAACTCTGATCAACCACTTTACTCACAATTAGCACTAATGTTTATGTGTTTTTGTTTTCTTTGTCCTGTTTATGTTTTTTTGTAAAGCGTCTTTGAGCACTAGGAAAAGCGCTATAACAATCCAATGCATTATTAGTATTATTATCAGACTGAGGGAGCATTTCAAGTTCACCATCTCTTCTTCTTTTACTACTTCTGACAACAGGTAGCAGCAATGACCTAAGTGGCTGTGGTCCTGGATCATAGGTCCTGGATGGAGATCCTCGTGGATTCATCTTCCTATTATACACACAAGCATTTCCTAACATTTGGACTATATGCTGTAAATGTATTATCTCTTGGATTTACACACGGCATCTATTGCACGTCTGTCCGTCCTGGGAGAGGGATCCCTCCTCTGTTGCTCTCCCTGAGGTTTCTCCCATGTTCCCTTTAAACTGTGGGTTTTCTCTGGAAGTTTTTCCTTGTACGATGTGAGGGTCTAAGGACAGAGGGTCTAAGGACAGAGGGTCTAAGGACAGAGGGTCTGAGGACAGAGGGTCTGAGGTCAGAAGGTCTGAGGACAGAGGGTCTGAGGACAGAGGGTCTAAGGACAGAGGGTCTGAGGACAGAGGGTCTGAGGACAGAGGGTCAAAGGACAGAGGGTCTAAGGACAGAGGGTCTAAGGACAGAGGGTCTAAGGACAGAGGGTCTAAGGACAGAGGGTGTCGTATTGTCATACTGATATTCTGTACAAACTGTAAAGTCCACTGAGACAAATGTAACATTTGTGATATTGGGCGATAAATAAACACTGATTGATTGATTGGTTGATTGATTGATTGGTTGGTTGATGAATGAGTCATAAAGCTATTTATTGTTGTGAGGTTAATGGTAGGGATGCACCGAATATTCGGCCACCGAAAATTATCGGCCGAAAATGGTTAAAAAGGCCCTTTCGGCCGAAAGGGTTTTAGCACCGAAAAAATATCACCGAATGTCAGAACAGGCTTACGTTGGTAACCTAACGTGTTGTTGTGATGACGTAATAAAGACGCGGCGACCATGCTCGCAGCTGGCTCACAGGGGGGGGGGGGGGACATTGACCTTTGTCATCGAGATTGCCCTGAGCCTTTAACAAATCGTATTAAATAATCTGATGACAGACTGTAAACAGAATAGCTGAAATGTTAACAAACTAAATAACTCAGTTACCTCTAATCATTAACCCATGTTTGTATCATGTAGTTAACTCCGTGTGTTGCTGCTAGAATACATAACACCTGACGTGGAAACGTTACTCGTGATGGAGCTACAGAGCTGCTAGAAAGACGGTGGAACCCGGTACATTCCTCCGTCTGCATGCGGTGCACTTTTGCTAAATGTTTAGACAAATTGCTCGTGCTTACATGCTAAACTCTTATTGCACTTATGGTAACAAGTATTCTCCACATCGAGACGGGTAAAGTTGAACCACACCTCGGAGCGCGTTCTCTCCGCCATCTCCGCAGTGTGCTCCGCTGCATGTAGCAGCTGCGTGTGTGTAAACTGCCCCGCCCCCTCGCACACAGACGGGAGAGAGATCTCGTCTGATCGAAAATACATCATAGACGCATTTGTTGTCTTTGCATATTAGAAACGAGTTGGCGACACTAAGACTGCGATATCATGTTTTTAGCAATAATACATGACATATATAAATGTACTGTATGCATTCAAAAGTGCTGAATACATGTTTTATGGACCCATAATAGTGATTATTATTTAAGTTACGTTTTGCCATAATCATGTCTATTTCCATAATCAGGTAGCTGAACAACATTGGTAACAAATGTATACATTATATATATATATATATATATATATATATATAATGTATACATTTTTTACCAATGTATATATATATATATTTCTATTAATCATTTTCGGCCTTTCGGCATTCGGTTTCGGCCAACTGTTTCCCATTCGGTGCACCCCTAGTTAATGGTCTTATCTTTTGTGGAGTGTAGACTTGATGTTTCTCCATTTGCTAGCAGGTGTGTTTTAAAGACTCCTGTATGTAGTCTGTTTAAGGGCGACTGCGGCTGCGAGGGAGTGCGGTCGTCTTTCACCCAGAAGGTTGTGGGTTCGATCCCAGCCCGTGCAGCCAACATGTCGATGTATCCTTGGGCGAGATACTGAACCCTGAGATGCTCCCGATGGCCAACGGTGTGTGAGTGTGTGTGAAGGTTAGGTCCTAGAGTCAGGCACACTGCTCTGTGTGAATGTCAGGTCCTAGAGTCAGGAACACTGCTCTGTGTGAGTGTCAGGTCCTAGAGTCAGGAACACTGCTCTGTGTGAATGTTAGGTCCTAGAGTCAGGAACACTGCTCTGTGTGAATGTTAGGTCCTAGAGTCAGGAACACTGCTCTGTGTGAATGTTAGGTCCTAGAGTCAGGAACACTGCTCTGTGTGAATGTTAGGTCCTAGAGTCAGGAACACTGCGCTGTGTGAATGTTAGGTCCTAGAGTCAGGTACACTGCTCTGTGTGAATGTTAGGTCCTAGAGTCAGGAACACTGCTCTGTGTGAATGTTAGGTCCTAGAGTCAGGCACACTGCTCTGTGTGAATGTTAGGTCCTAGAGTCAGGAACACTGCTCTGTGTGAATGTTAGGTTCTAGAGTCAGGAACACTGCTCTGTGTGAATGTTAGGTCCTAGAGTCAGGAACACTGCTCTGTGTGAATGTTAGGTCCTAGAGTCAGACACTGCTCTGGTGTAAGTGTTAGGTCCTAGAGTCAGGAACACTGCTCTGTGTGAAGTGTCAGGGTCTAGAGTCAGGCACACTGCTCTGTGTGAGTGTCAGGTCCTAGAGTCAGGAACACTGCTCTGTGGTGAGTGTTCAGGTCCTAGAGTCAGGACACACTGCTCTGTGTGAGTGTGAGGTCCTAGAGTCAGGAACACTGCTCTGTGTGAATGTGTAGGTCCTAGAGTCAGGAACACTGCTCTGTGTGAATGTTAGGTCCTAGAGTCAGGAACACTGCTCTGTGTGAATGTTAGGTCCTAGAGTCAGGAACACTGCTCTGTGTGATGTTAGGTCCTAGAGTCAGGTACACTGCTCTGTGTGAATGTTAGGTCCTAGAGTCAGGCACACTGCTCTGTGTGAATGTTAGGTCCTAGAGTCAGGCACACTGCTCTGTGTGAATGTGAGGTCCTAGAGTCAGGTACACTGCTCTGTGTGAATGTTAGGTCCTAGAGTCAGGAACACTGCTCTGTGTGAATGTTAGGTCCTAGAGTCAGGAACACTGCTCTGTGTGAATGTCAGGTCCTAGAGTCAGGTACACTGCTCTGTGTGAATGTCAGGTCCTAGAGTCAGGTACACTGCTCTGTGTGAGTGTTAGGTCCTAGAGTCAGGAACACTGCTCTGTGTGAATGTCAGGTCCTAGAGTCAGGTACACTGCTCTGTGTGAATGTCAGGTCCTAGAGTCAGGAACACTGCTCTGTGTGAGTGTCAGGTCCTAGAGTCAGGAACACTGCTCTGTGTGAGTGTTAGGTCCTAGAGTCAGGTACACTGCTCTGTGTGAATGTCAGGTCCTAGAGTCAGGTACACTGCTCTGTGTGAGTGTTAGGTCCTAGAGTCAGGAACACTGCTCTGTGTGAATGTCAGGTCCTAGAGTCAGGTACACTGCTCTGTGTGAGTGTTAGGTCCTAGAGTCAGGCACACTGCTCTGTGTGAGTGTCAGGTCCTAGAGTCAGGCACACTGCTCTGTGTGAGTGTCAGGTCCTAGAGTCAGGAACACTGCTCTGTGTGAATGTTAGGTCCTAGAGTCAGGAACACTGCTCTGTGTGAATGTTAGGTCCTAGAGTCAGGCACACTGCTCTGTGTGAATGTCAGGTCCTAGAGTCAGGAACACTGCTCTGTGTGAATGTTAGGTCCTAGAGTCAGGAACACTGCTCTGTGTGAATGTTAGGTCCTAGAGTCAGGAACACTGCTCTGTGTGAATGTTAGGTCCTAGAGTCAGGAACACTGCTCTGTGTGAATGTTAGGTCCTAGAGTCAGGAACACTGCTCTGTGTGAATGTCAGGTCCTAGAGTCAGGCACACTGCTCTGTGTGAATGTCAGGTCCTAGAGTCAGGTACACTGCTCTGTGTGAATGTCAGGTCCTAGAGTCAGGTACACTGCTCTGTGTGAATGTTAGGTCCTAGAGTCAGGCACACTGCTCTGTGTGAATGTCAGGTCCTAGAGTCAGGTACACTGCTCTGTGTGAATGTTAGGTCCTAGAGTCAGGAACACTGCTCTGTGTGAATGTTAGGTCCTAGAGTCAGGAACACTGCTCTGTGTGAATGTTAGGTCCTAGAGTCAGGCACACTGCTCTGTGTGAATGTTAGGTCCTAGAGTCAGGCACACTGCTCTGTGTGAATGTTAGGTCCTAGAGTCAGGCACACTGCTCTGTGTGAATGTTAGGTCCTAGAGTCAGGCACACTGCTCTGTGTGAGTGTTAGGTCCTAGAGTCAGGAACACTGCTCTGTGTGAATGTTAGGTCCTAGAGTCAGGCACACTGCTCTGTGTGAGTGTCAGGTCCTAGAGTCAGGAACACTGCTCTGTGTGAGTGTCAGGTCCTAGAGTCAGGCACACTGCTCTGTGTGAGTGTTAGGTCCTAGAGTCAGGCACACTGCTCTGTGTGAGTGTCAGGTCCTAGAGTCAGGCACACTGCTCTGTGTGAGTGTTAGGTCCTAGAGTCAGGAACACTGCTCTGTGTGAATGTTAGGTCCTAGAGTCAGGCACACTGCTCTGTGTGAATGTTAGGTCCTAGAGTCAGGAACACTGCTCTGTGTGAATGTGAGGTCCTAGAGTCAGGAACACTGCTCTGTGTGAATGTTAGGTCCTAGAGTCAGGAACACTGCTCTGTGTGAATGTTAGGTCCTAGAGTCAGGAACACTGCTCTGTGTGAATGTTAGGTCCTAGAGTCAGGTACACTGCTCTGTGTGAATGTGAGGTCCTAGAGTCAGGAACACTGCTCTGTGTGAATGTTAGGTCCTAGAGTCAGGCACACTGCTCTGTGTGAGTGTTAGGTCCTAGAGTCAGGCACACTGCTCTGTGTGAATGTTAGGTCCTAGAGTCAGGCACACTGCTCTGTGTGAGTGTCAGGTCCTAGAGTCAGGCACACTGCTCTGAGTGAACGACATGTATGTAAAGCTTTGAGGGGTCTTAAAGACCGGATGAAGCGCTGTGTAAGTACAGACCATTTATCTTTCCTGTCTCGGCCCCTCCTCTTCTATTCTCTGCGAACATGTGAACATCAGCCCCTCTGCAGACCTCCTGATGCAGACTGCTTGACTCTGTAACGATTTACCTTCTTCAAGAATAAACTCCCAAAAAGACCGTCTTATTCCAATAATCTTCATTTCAGTTTAACGGAAAGGTTTCTCCCATTTTAATATTATTAGCTGGTTTGTGTCAGGAGTCACGCAGAGAGCGATGTGTGTTGTTGTTGTTTACCTGCTGTATGCTTCCGTCTCGTCAGCTGATGAGGTGACGGAGCCCGACGGAGACTCTCCTTTCTGACGAGGACCGACAGATTCACAGCTCCCAGAATCCTCTCTGTTCTGTGATGTTATAGTGAAAACATGATTTAGTGAACTCGTAGTTTTAGCATTTTGTTGCTTTTAGTGATTTTACATCCTTGCAAATATCTTTGATTTATTTAGTTCTGTAGTTAAACATTATATAACACGTATGTGTTTTGTTCTGAGTGGATCCTGCAGGTCTTCAGGTTGCTCCACATTTGGTGAAATAAAGACAGACCAATCCTTTATCACACCTGGAGAACAACAACCTCATATTAAGGTGTATTCATGTCTGTATGTGTACCTTGAGGCGGATGTAGAGGTTGGAGGATCGGATTCTGCTGCTGACCTTCTCCGCCGTCAGAGAGTCCACCTGCAGCGGCTTCAGCGTCTTCGTGCGGTCGGAGGTGAAGAACTCGAAGTCGTCCGTCAGCCGAGGAAACGAGGAGCGAAGAAGAAGCAGGAACTGTTCCTCCGAGAGACCGCGCGGGAAACACACCTCCTGCACCGGGCACCTGTCAAACACTGCAGGGGGGACACAGTTATAGTGTGAGTGTGTGAGTGTGTGTGTGTGTGTGTGTGAGTGAGTGAGTGAGTGAGTGTGGTGTGTGTGTGTGTGTGAGAGTGTGTGTGTGTGAGTGAGAGTGTGTGTGTGTGAGTGAGTCAGTGAGAGAGTGAGAGAGAGAGAGTGAGGAGAAAAGAGTGAGAGAGTAGATAGAGAGAGAAGAGACGGATAGACGCGGCGAGAGAGAAAGAGACGTAGAGGAGCGAAGAGAACGAGACGAACGAGACGAGAGCGCGAGAGAGAGACGGTTCAGACCGATAGAGCGGAGCGAGCGGAGAGAGAAAGAGATGCAGAGAGAGAGAAGTAGAGAGAAGGGGAGAGAGAGAAGGAGAGGGAGGAGCGCGAGAGAGGAGGAGGCAGAGAGAGAGAACAGGAGCCCGCGAGTTGCGCGAAGTTTCAGATTTGTTCGTGTTCTGAGGGAGAGGAGGTGTGTGTGTGTGTGTGTGTGTGTGTGTGTGTGTGTGTGTGTGTGTTTGTGTGTGTGTGTGTGTGTGTGTGTCAAACACTGCAGAAGAAAATACAGTTGTATTTGTAATAGAAAGATATTATACTCTCATACTGGATTAATATCATTGTGTGATTCTTATTGGCTAAGTTTATCTATTTTCACTCCTTAATAAACTCTATCCACAGTTGATGAACCACAGTGTTCCATTCCAGTGTGTGTGTGTGTGTGTGTGTGTGTGTGTGTGTGTGTGTGAGTGTATGTGTGTGTGAGTGAGTGTGTGACCCACCGGTGTTGGAGAGCACGAGGCTGCGGGCGTCCTCCAGGATGCAGACCCTGAGGGTGACTTCTCTCTGAGGCCGGTCAGACGCTCGGGGGGGAACCAGCCTGCAGGAAACAGACATTAACTCGTGTTATTCAGAGAGTCTGAGTAACACGAACCAAGTGGCGACGGTTAACCCACGAGTACCGCTTTTCTTTTACCTGGGTGTTATTTGAAAATCGGGGTCTTTGGGATCTGGTTTCGGCTGCTCTTCCTCTTCATCATCATCGTCGTACCACAGCATGCCGAGGCTGCCCGTCTCCTGCTCAGCTGCAAACAGATGCATTTCAATAACCAGTTACTAGGCAGATTACACTTTGAATACATCCTTCTGAGTAAACGTGATACACCTGTAATATGCAGAACACTCTTAGATTCACCTGGCTGCTCCTCTCCCCTGGAAACCACCACGTGGTCTTCAGCGGCTGGAACCAGGGCTTTAACACAAAAACAACAATCAGTGAATCCCCTTTATTAGCAGTTATAATAGCAGGCACATTTAGTGTCACTTTTTATGCCGAATTGTCAATACTAGAATAAAAAAGGTGTGTTAGTGTTTATTTAATTCTCTCTGAAGTCGGGAGTTCCCTGATTCGAGATTTTTGAATCAGAATACCTTTATTGGTCCCACAGAGCATTTACATTTGTTACAGCAGAGCCAAAGACAGCGTAATGTGAACTAAGATGCAAGATAACAAATAAACACACGATTTACAAAATACACATCCTACATATGCAGTTATTAACCGCATATTGTGCAGTTTCTATTTCTCAACAAGGGGTGTTATAGCACTGTGTGTGTGTGTGTGTGTGTGTGTGTGTGCGCGCGTGTGTGTGATATATAAAGAAGCGTTGTTACTGCATGTAATTATACTGTAATTTCCTCCAGGCTCCACCTCTCCTCTGCAGGTATATTATCTGTAACTGTATTCATCTTGTGTGAACCTGTACTTTCACTCTTCCTGCATACAAAGGTTGTATTTAATATATCACTCCGCCATAGTGATCACGTTTTAAATGGACTTCGTCTAATTAAAAGGAGCATTGATGATGATTCAACTGTATTGTGATTACATAGTACAGGTACTAGAAAGGAAAGAGTCTCTGCCTTTGACCCTTCCTAGTGTTAGGAGCAGTGTGCTGCCGTTGTGTAGTGATCACGTTTTAAATGGACTTCCTGAAAGGAGCTTTGTTACTGCATGCAAAGGTTGTATGTAATGTATAAGTTCCTCCATGCTCCACCTCTCCTCTGCAGATTGATCCGGGGCTTCAGGAGCTCCAGCTGGATGTTCTGCTGGCTGATCTCCCTCCTCAGGCCCGAGGCCTCCTCCTCGTACCCGGACACAGTTCTCTGTAACACCGCGAGGATCTCCTGCAGCGCGGTGCTCAGCTTCTCCGTCACGATGCCTCTCAGGATGTCGCATTTAGACATTTCCTCCACACTCTTGGAGCTGTCCTTCCAGTAAAACATGCTTTCATTTGTCTCCAAAGGGGCGATTTTACGCAGGAAAACTTCGCGCATCAAAACGTGGTGGTGTGCTTCCAGGTGGAGGAGCGGTGTGGCTACTTAATGGGTCCGATGAGAAACAAAGCACAGACAAATTCCCTGTAGAAGTTTTTTTTATTTTTGTTGTCGTTAATACACAATTAGTTTTGATTGCCTTTTTAGTTTGTGTGCATTCGTTTCAATCTTCTTTCTTTCTTAAACCAGGGAAGAGAGCCTGCAATGTTTATTTACCTTTTGTTTTTTTACCTTAAAAACGGTGGAGTTCCCGGAAGTAATTTCAAAATAAAAGCCCTCGGCTGCAGTCGAATTGTCCAAAAATCTTCTCCTATCGTCTATTCCTCTCCTCTGTGTGAAAGGTCACGGGGTTAAGGGATAGTGGATAGGAGAATTCAAAAGGACTTAGGAGAAGAGACTGCGGGGTTGCGTTCCGATAATCCAAAAATCAGCTCCTCAATTCTAACCCTATCTCCTATTCCTTGACCTCTGAGTGAAAGGTCACGGGGTTAAGGGATAGTGGATAGGAGACTTCAAAAGGACTTAGGAGAAGAGACCGTGGTACTTTAGAGAATCGACTGCACTTTCACTATCCCACGTGTTTCTGATGCGCCAGCGGACGTCCTGAATGAGCGTCTGCTGCTGTGGGGAAACTATGGAAACTACAGTTCTCTATACAGCGGACCTGTGCTTGAATTGGAATGAAAAAGGTGCCAGTACTCTAAAATCAGCAACTTTTTCAAGTCAATTTTATATATACAGCCCACAAACAAGAATTTGGCTACTATAATGCTGGTGGCTTTGTCTCTTTACTACTGTATATTTTAGAAAGGTTCACTGGACTTAACATTTTTTATGATAGGCAGCGGATATGGCTAAAGCTCAGTAAGGTCAATATTAACTGAAAATATAGCAATCAAAGTCTAGATCTTCTGCTGAAGACACATGAAGCAGAGACCTTTCAGGTGAGAGCCCCTCTGGTGGTGTTCAACATTAATGACAAGGAAACAAAGCTCTGGTCAGAAGCATTTTTTATAAAAAGCTTTAACAAAATTAAGTATTTCTGTACATTTTGAATGCAATCTAACTTTCCAACTCAGAAAACGAAAAACGAAAAAGTGCCAAAAGTCTTCTCACATGGCTGAGCTGCTTTGCAATATACTTCACCACTGAAGAATACAAATATGTATAAAGTAAACTATGATGCAATCTAACTTTCCAACTCAGAAAAATGATAAAGAGCATGAACAAAGAACATGTAAAAACAAATGCAAAATTTGCACAATCTAAAATGAGAAACTGTAACTGCAAGTAACAAAGTCTGAGCCATGGTAAAGAGTTACATTGAACACCAAGCTGATCAGATAACTCCCTGGTTGGTCTGAAGTCCTTCTATCTCCAGGATCTGTACAAATCGGCACATTATGCCAAAAGTCTTCTCACTGGGTGAGCTGCTTTGCAATATACTTCACATTGTTAGAAAAGGCTCCAGAAGGCCTTGGGGACATCAGTATCAGGGGCTGGAGCTGGACAGGCTCTTTCATCAGCACTTCTCCTTCCCTTTGCCAGCCAGGACCTCACATACTGTTCCGGATTGAACTGTCCTAGTGATGGTCCATTACATTTAATGAAAACCAGGCTGGACAGTCGGCTGACAGAGAGAGCATTCCTTTTTGCAGTAAGGATATCGTTCATGCAGCTGAATGCCCGCTCACACTCACTAGTGGAGACAGCGATGGTTCGGACTGCTTTCAGTAGAGGCTCCATGGCAGCAGGTGTACGGGATGCCCTGGTTTCCTTGTATTCGCGAAAGCCCTGAACAGTCTCTCTTCTGTCCACTTTCAGCACTTGGCACAAACGTAGCACCTCTACGTCCCCATACTGTACGTCTAACTCCTCTTCAGGCCAACTTCCAGGATGGATAACTTTCATGTCCTGGATTAGCTGATTGTCCCGGGCCTCCCGGCCATGTAATGGGATTTCTCTTGTGCTGACATGAGAGGAGGTTGTGGAAGTCATTCTGTGTCTCAGATTCTCTACCATACTGCGGAAAAACTGACCTGCATGAATCTGTACAAGCCTGCCATTCTCACGCAGGGCAACACCCTTGAAGGACTTCTCAGCTAGAGCTGTATGAACTGTAGTCATGTGTGGGCCAGGCATGGTGACCATGGATTCAAAAACTCGTATTTCTCGAGTTAAGAGCCTATCTGCTGTAGGCAGTGTCATCTCTCTTTTTTGGAGTTGCCGAGAGAGGTCGCTGAGCTCTGTGAGCGCATCGTACATCAGTCCCCAGATTGCTGACAAACGTTGCAGATGTGAGCACATCATCCAGGCCCTTGTACTTTGCTCTGTCTCTGGAATCCCTGCTCGTGTCGTTTGCAGCATTTGTGAAGTGATCATGAAGCACTCGGTAGTTTTCCCAGACTGCTCTGACGCTCCTTTCACTTGAAGCCACCCAGCGGATGGACAAAACACGCCCTATCACCAGGAGACGCTGTCCGACTGCTTGCGCACACTGCGCTAACTGCCTCTGATTTTTGGGGGAGGCATGGAACAAGGAATAGAGTTTGTCAAAAAAGATCTGGAAATGATTGAGCCCTGAGACCTCCTTGACCACATCCCCAACTGCCAGCTCTAGACGATGATTGTAGCAGTGCCACACAAACAGGCTTGGGAATTTACTACACAACTGGGTAGCAACGCCTGTTCTCTTCCCTAGCATGACTGAAGCCCCATCACATGCAAAAGAAACGAAACACTGACCTAAAAAGTCCTCGTTAAAATCTCTTCCAAGACACTCCATTAACGCCTTTGTGATGTCATCAGCCGTTGTTCCATCCAACTCGATCAGCTCCCAAAAAAACGTTTCGGGCTCAGCATCAGCTAATGCTGAGCGTAGACACACAACAAGCACCGTTTTACCACTAATAGTGGTAGATTCATCGACCAAAACACAGAGTTTTCTTTGGTTTTCTGTAATGTCTTTTGCCATTTTTTTCTTCAGCTCATGAGCTATGTGGTCGATGATTTCGCCACAGGTTTTATTGGAGCGCAAAACCCTGCCCACGTTCAGCCCATTCAGTTTCTGTACATTCAAATCAATTGGCATGTCTGTGAATGGCCGGCTATGTTAGCCAATTTTATATGCCGTTCGAAAAACTCTGATAGTGGTGTCTAATTCAGATGTATGCATAGACTGCACTTGATGTTGAATAGTTTCACGTGAAGCAGATGTAAGGATGTCAGCAGCTTTTACATGGGCTTGTGATTCTTTATGTTCTTTGATTTTTTTTCTCAGGCTAGCTTGTTGCTTGCCCTTGTCAACACCGAAATGAGACACTGCACACTCACCCCATTCAGTTGACAGTTTCAGTCCTTGTCCAGTGTGTATTCCCAAAGATTTGACATCTCTGCATATCCGACATCCTAGCTTCTTATCTTTAAGAAGGAGCCATGCATTGGTCTTGCAAAAATATTGCACCTGGTCCGTTGTCCAGCAGTCAGGTGCATCGCTTTGCCCGGTGTTGGTGGTGGCAGTTGCGCCAGCAGCAGCTAACGTTAGAGGCTCTGGAGGAGGCGGCGGAGCTAGTGCTAATGCTAATGCACTAGAACTTGGAGCAGGAGGATCAACCAAAGAAAGCTCCCCATCAGACACAATTTCCAACACAGGCACAGCATTCTCTGTATTTGAAGTTTCTTCCGGCGACAACCGCTGTCTTTTTGCACTTTTATTAATCCACGCTAACATTTTAGAAATGCTAATTTGTGACGTGACTTGCTTTCCTTCTCTCGGGGGCGTGCCTGCTCTGTTCTATCACTCTACATAGCCACCCACTGGGTGGGAGTTGCACTGCATAAACACAACACACGTGCATCTAGGTATGTAAATTGTAAAGCATTAAAACATGGTTTTACTAACAGTTTTCAGTATGTTGTTACTTCGGCATTATTATTATTATTATTTTGAAACGTGTATTACTATTAAATCACGGTCAAATAGGTTAATTTTGACATAGTCGTTTCCACCACAGTATTTACATGGAGAAGATAAGCCCCGCCCCCTCTCCAGCACGTTCTGTTTGAATGACAGGAGTAAACAGCTGACAGCCGCTGTGAAACTCCAGCGGTTAGAGCGATGAGAATGTCCGTTCGGCACCTCATGACGCATCTACTGAGTACCGGGCGGCTGTATATATATATATGGATGTATAATAAGAACGGCGGGAGAGTGTTGAGTACTGGCACGGTGCATGAGTACCGGAGTACCGCCAGCATGCCGGTACTGAGCAAGAAGTGCCGGTACTCCATGGGTCAGAACCAGAAGTGCCGGTACTGCGTACCGGTGAGTACCGGCCCAATTCCAGCACTGACAGTACGACTGTAGACTTCCAATCACATGCGAGTACAGTGACTGTAGACAGTCAAGCCTTCTGATTTGCCAAAAGTCTACAGTCGGAGTCCCGCCTCCAAACTCCATTGGACAGTACGACCGTGGACTTCCAATCGGATGGGAATGACTGTAGACTTTTGTCGAATCAGAAGGCGTAACTGTCTACAGTGACTGTGGACATTGCACTCCCGTAGACTCGAGCTCTGCGATCGGCGCGCGCCCGCTGGTTGCCTCCTCTACTGGAGTAACTGGGGCGGCGAGGACGCATATACTTTTGTTCTTGTCGGAGAATATTTGTTGACAAGTATTATTTACTCAAATGTAATTCATAAATTAATATAATATCAGAAAAAACCTGGAAACGTGCAGATTATATATTTTAAAATATTATATATATACAAATTGATGAATTAAAAAATCAAGTGCATTGAAAACTACATACTTATTTTGCACTTTTTATTTTGTACGTATTTTTGTACTGCGTACCGGTGAGTACCGGCCCAATTCCAGCACTGCAGCGGACTACAACATGGATGTTCAATAAGAACGAGGGACTCCTGTGAACTCATCTAGAGACTCTGTGCTCTGATGCTGTTGCTTTATGCTTTATGAACGTGGACAACAGAGAAACAGATTCTTCAGGACCAAAGCTGGAATTGAAATAAAAAGGAAAGTGAAGCTTCTGCTCGTCACCCTCTCCCTCCGGTCCACGTTAATACAAATGATCCCAATACGTATGATTGATGAAAAGATCTTAAATCAATACAGATGTATTTATTATAAACGTTAGTCCTTAACATCTATCTCTGTGTATATC